TTACTTGCAAGGCAAGTACCTACCTGCTATACTATCTGTCTAGCCTTCCGCCACTCCCAATGTTCCCCCTCCCCGGGTTGTGGGCCACATCTGGAAGTGCTTAGAAGTAACTCCTGGCTCTGCCCTGAGGAATTACTCTGGTCAGGACTCGGGGGAACACTGAGGATGCTGGGAGTCAACCCAGGTTGTCTGCATGCAAAGCAAGTGCTGAATCTCTGCAATATTTTTAAGGTCAGAAAAACCCTCATTTTGAGAGTAAAGACAGTGAATACAGGGGAAAGAAAGTAGATAATGATCAGGAATCTGAGTTATCTAGAAAGAGATGAAAAGAACTAAGACATAGGTAATATTTGCTAAATCTGTTCCTCTCTGGCATATAAATTCCTACTAGGAAGCTTATATTTGATGCCCAATACCATTCATTTACCGAGAACTCATGCACTGATATCTCTAACTCAGATGTCCCCTCAGGCTTTGCATACATAGTAATCAAAACTCTACCTGATAAGATTACCTTGATGTCTAAAAGCTATGAAGAAATTGTGAATCAAAAATGGAAATTTGGGGGACTGGAGAAATAGTACAGTAAGTACAGAAGAGTATTAGCCATGCGTGTGGTTGCAGCAGCTACAACCCTAGTTCAAACCCCTGGAACCACATATGACCCCTGGGCACCACCAGGGGTCGCGCTGGAGCAGAGCCAGGAATAGCCCCTGAGCATTGCAGTGTGGATAACCCTTCTGCCCCTTCCGAAACTGTTAGATTTACCCCAAATTGTGACTCATACCTTCCCTGTTTCAAAAATGGCAGTACTATCTACCAGTTGCAAAGTCAAAATGAAATGTCCCCCTATTCCCCAGACTAATTTTTTTTACTGCTTTCTTTTTCCTAGTCCATTCTCCAAAAAGGAGAGATTCTTTCTAAAATATTTAGTTCAGCTGATAATTATTAAAGCTGCGTGTGATATATTATGCTAATTTATTCTTCTTTGTATATGCTCCAAATTTTCCAATTTAAAAAAGTTACTCAAGGCTGAAGTGATAGTACAGTCAGTAGGGTATTGGCCTTGCAGGCAGCAGACCTGGGTTCAAGCAGACCTGGGTTTGTTACTGCCATGAGTAACGCCTGAGTATTGCTGGCTGTGGCTCCCCACCAAAAAAGTTATTCAGATTATTGTATTTTCTCCTGTAGTTCTTTGCTGGCTTCTCAATGTTCTTAGAATATCTTGCCGAGGCCTGTGAGATCTAGCCTGGCCTCTGTCTACATGTTTAAGCTTATCTGATGCAACTATTCTTGCCCAAACAGCTCAGGCCAAAAGTTGTCAGTTCCAAGAATACTTTAAGCTCTTTCTTATCTTAAAGCATTTGTACTTATAGTATCCTCCAGCAGAAAATCTCCCCCCATCCCCAGCTCTTGGCAAGGCTCCTTCTCTTCCTTAAGGAGCTAACAAAGTCCTTATGAGCCTGTTCTTCACATGCAGTCTAAATTAGATCCTCTCTACCTTTACTCTCTCACGTACTATCTTGTATATTCCATAGCTTTTGATCAAGTTTATAATTCTCTTACTTGTTCATATAAATACATACTGATTATAAGAAAACAACTTAAATGAGTGTTCTAAGTTGGCCTAATTTTTTGGGGGGCACCCCTAGGACTTAATCCTGGCACTACATTCAAGGACCACTCCTGGCCGGCTTGGGGGACCGTATGGGATGTCCAGGATTGAACTTGGGTTGACTGTGTGCAAGGCAAACACCCTTCTCAATGTACTATCACTCTAGCACTGATGTTTTTAAGATATTTGAAGGCCTATACACATGGTTTCTTTATTTTTTGAGGGGTGGGGAAGGGGGTTGGGTGACACCCATAGGTGCTCAGGGTTTGCTTTTTGCTCTATAGTCAGGGATCATTCCTGATGGGGTTCAGGAGACCATATGGAATGCCAGGGATCAGCCACATGCAAGGCAAGCGCCTACTCTATGTACTATCTCTCTGACCCCCTACACACAGGTTCTATTCATGCTATAATTCCAATTCTTAAAAAATTTGGTGGATAGAATACATTTAATGATATTCCCTTATAAATAGGACTATAAGATTATGAACTGGAGGAGTTGGAGCAAGGGTACAGTGAGGGCATCTGCCTTGCATGCAGCCAACCCAGGTTTGATTCCTTACATCCAGTATGGTCCTCTGACCTGAACGAGCAACCACCAGAGGTAATTCCTGAGTGCAGAGCCAGGAGTAACCCCCAAGCATCACTAGGTGTAACCCAAAAAACAAAAACAAACTAAAACCAAAAAAAAAAAAGATTATGATCTGGAGAGAAAATTCTTGCCACAGAAATTGAAGAGAACAATCTGAAATATGAATTGATGGGAAATTAAAAATATATATTCAAATATACCCTCTCTTTGATTCTGTGTCCCAGACTTTGAAGTGTTGAATAATTTATGTGACAGCATTGTTTAAATGTGAACCCTCTGTAACTATATTCAGTATTATTTATTAACACGACACGCTCTCTTTTTAGTTTAATTAATTTTTAATTGCAGGCAGCTATTTAGTAGTATGATAAGGATCAATTCAGTAGGTGTTTTTACAGATTTTTCTCCTGCCAATCTTTGTCCTAATCCAGTGTCACAGGATTTCCCTAAGGGAGTTACCAAACCAGATCCCTGCCAGGGAGCGGCAGCAGATGGGAACTGTTTACCACTATTTAAAGAAAGTCCTGGGCAGGACAGAATCTCATAAATAAAAGATATCTCAGAGATCATGGAATAATCCAATAAACTGATGATCTACCATGTTAACTGACGTTTCTTTCCAAATATAATTTTCTGTTCATTTTTTTCTGTTCTGGTAGTTCAAGTTTTCGTTTGCGTTTTTGGTGGGGGGAGGTTTTGGGGTGGTGCCCATGGCCTCCACCTGGCTCCGAGCTCAGTGGTCATTCAAGGCAATGCTTGGCGGGGACCATGTGCAGTGCTGGGCATAGAACCCCAGCAGGCCACAAGGCAAGTCCTTTACCCCCTATATGTCTCTCAGGCGGCAAATCTTAATTTTTGGAGGCTCTTAAGAAATAATTATTTTTACTATTTGGTTTTGGAGCCATACCCTGTAGTGTCTGGGGCTTACTCCTGATTCTGCATTCAGGCATCACTCCTGGCGGGCTCAGAACCATAATGGGATGCCGAGACTGAATGTGGGTTGGCCACGTGCAAGGTAAGTGCCTTACTGGCTATACAACTGCTCTGGCTCCAGGAATTATTTTTCTGTTTTGTTTTTCGCCGAGGCTCTGTGGGGCTCTAGGATTGATCCTGGTGGTGCTGGGGGAACATATGTGTTACAGGGGTTGGAACCAGGGCCTCTGCATACATGTGCTCAGCTCTTCAGGGATCTCTGCGGCCCAAGGAATCATTTAGTAAATTCCTATCATATCAGGTTCTGAACACAGGCTGTTAGGTCACAAATCCATTTTTTAAATTTTTTATTATGTTGAATCATTTCCCTCTTTGCTTGCTCATCTTGAGTCATGAGTTTTTTTCAGATCATTCCAATGGCCTGTGTTGTTCCTGGGTTAAATTCAAAATTTTCTGCTTTTATTAATGGTTTGGTATACCTAAACGCCCAGCTAATAGTACACAAAGAGAAGAGAATAACTGTATTTCAACTTCAACATCATTCCAATTTATTAGCCTAAGGTGTATTAATAGGGACACTTAGCTGTCTTTGTTTTTGACTTGTAGATTTGATGGGGTTCATGGTTTGTGTAAAATCAGTGGATACCTAAATTGATAATGCTATGCTAGACCCATCATCAATGACACTGATTAAGCTTTGATGGGGCCAAATTCCATTTGACCTGGGCACTGTGACGCACAAGCACAAAACATTTCAGGAACCAGGAAATGGTTTAGCCTCCCACTCAAGATGACTAGTCTGCCACAGTTCTGGGCGCAGGGCAAGGCCTTATCGGTTTAAGAAAGCGCCCCACATCTTCACTCCGTGACCACAGCACTTTTCCTTGCTGATGACAGCCTGGCTTGTCCTTTTCCGCTGGAAGGCGCTTGATGGGCTCCTAGTTCCGGCTTTCCAAAGATGCTCATAAAACTTACAGAGAGAGGGGCCCAAGCCCGAGTCGATGCGCTTGCCTTGCACGCGATGCCCACCGCCACATATGGTCCCCAAGGCGGCACCTCAAGAGTCTCCCGAGCACAGAGCAGGAGCATCCCCCATCACAGCTGGATGAGGCCCCCCCCAGTGCCCTTCCCCCCAACAAAACCCAATCACAACTATAAGGGTTTTGAAAAACACATTTCAGTTCCTTTCTTCTCTTTCTGCAGAACCAAAGTCAACCAGTTTAAGCAGATGCACGTTGCATTTAAGTCCCGACTCTTGTTTTAAATACCAACCCGGGGAACTGGAGCAACAGCACAGCGGGTAGGGCGTTTGCCTTGCACGCCGGGTTCGATTCCCAGCATCCCATATGGTCCCCTGAGCACCTCCAGGGGTATATTCCTGAGCGCAGAGCCAGGAGGAACCCCTGTGCGTTGCCGGGTGTGACCCAAAAAGCAAAAATAAATAAATAAATAAATACCAACCCGGGGGCTGGGGGCCCGTCAATAGAGCGGGTAAGGTTTGCGCCTTAGCACGTGCCCGACCCGGGTTCCCTCTCCGTAGGCTCACCGGGACCCAGAACCCCGGGGATGGGTTCCCCCGGAAAACCTTCCGTAGCCTTCCACCATTCTTTACGGGGTTTGCCTGGGAGGAGGCCGTAGCCCAGGGGCAGCCTCAGGCCAAAAACCTCCACCCCCCCGCCCCCCACCAAAGCGCAGCCACCTCGCCGCGCCGCCCCGCCCCCTCCGGGCCGCGCTCGCGTCCTCCCGCGAGAGGTCGTGCGGTGGGCGGGGCCGGGGCGGGGCCGCTGGTCCCCCGCCTCCCTCTCGTGCCCCCTCCGCGCGCGCCGCACTTCCGCCCGCCCCGCCGGGCCCCGCCACTCGCCAGCTGAGCCGGTTGCGGCCGCGGAAGCGCCGGGCCTCGTCGTCTTCGTCGTTGTCGTCGTCGTCGTCGTCGTCGTCCTCCTCCTCCTCCTCCTCCGCCGCCGCCTCCGCCTCCGCCTCCTTCTCCTCGGCTCGGCCCCGCCGCCGCGGCCGACATGAGCTTCTTGTTGTGAGTAGCCGGGCCCCGCGCGCCGCTTTGTCCGGGAGGCGTTTCCCCTGCGCGCTCTCCCCCCCACCCCGGCGGCACGTCCCGCGACCCCCTCGCCGGCCCCCCACCGCCTCAGTCTCCTGGGTGGCGAGCCCCGAGGAGAGGGCGTCGTTTTCCCCCCCCTCCCCGGTCACCCCTGGCAACCCCTCTTTGCCCTCCCGGGCGCGAGGGAATGAAGTTGGGGTGACAAGTCGTGTTGGAGGCCGCTGGCGGGGGTCCGGCGAAGGCGGGATTTGAGGGAGGGGGGCCCCCTGCAGCGGTCCCGGCGGGCGCCGTCTCCCGCAGAGTGGGTAGGGGGGCGCCCTGCCCCTTCAGGCGAGCTCCAAATAGGGTCTGGGAGGCGCGCCCGGCGCTGAGCGGGTCCTTCCCTCACTCCCCCCCCCCCCCCCCCACACACACACACACGGCCCCGGGAGTTGTCACGCTCATCATTTGTAAATGCCAGCTTGAGCGTCACTTTTCGAGCTGGTCGTTATGTCACTTGCCTTTTTTTGGTGGCGGATGAGTTGGGGGATGGGGAACGCATTCGATCAGGGCCCCGTGCTTTGAAAACAGGACCTTACCCCCCACCCCCACTCCCCTTGGGCAAGGGTTACCTTGTGAGGCTTGGGTTTGCTCTGTGGTTAGAAAGCTTATACAAACTCGGGCATTGAAAACACACACACACACACACACACACATATACTAACTCGGGCATTGAAAACACACACACACACACACACACATACACACCCCTGCGGTGGTGGAGAGAGTAGCTTTGAAATATATATATATATATGTGCATTTTTTGGTGGAGGGGGCACACCCTGCGATGCTCAGGGGTTACTCCTGGCTCTGCACTCAGGAATTAACGCCGGCAGTGGTTGGGGTTCCATATGGGATGCCGGGGATCGAACCCAGAGCCGGCTGGAGGCGTGGCAAACACTCTACCCATTACTAGGTCTCCAGCCCCTTAAGATAACTATTTTCTGTTCCGACGTGTTACCTCCCAGGAAGTTTTTTAGTCATTTCATTCACACCCCAGACCACCAATTTAACTGAGTCCATATTTTGACATACTCAGTCTTGGAATACTAATTCTTTGCAGGGTGGCAAGGCAGGGCCGCCAGCCGGCATCCCTTGCTGAGGCTTCTGATATGCACGGTGCCCACCTGCCAGATACTTCCTGACCCAGGGCTGCTCTTTCTTAGGCCAGACTCTTCTTCTGCCTTGGTTAGGTTGGCAGTGCGGCCAGGACTGGGCGGTTTTGACAGTCTCTGCTTTCTCTGCTTCCTATTTTAGTTAGAAATCACATATCCAGGCAGGCATCTCAGCTTGAAGCTTCTCATGCTGAGGATGTTTCGCAGTGTTGATGCTTTATTTCTTCGGGAATTTCAAAGCGATATCCTTGAAATAGCAGCACAGATGATGTCCAGGGACTGCTGCTAATGGGCTTGGTGGGTCTCTTTGAACTCAAACTCAGTTACTTGTAGCACTGCAGGACCATATTTAGAAACTAGGGGAGGGAGAAGGTTTTGGTGGCATTTCCTGAGCAAAACCTCTATAGTATCCTATTTTTACTTGACTGTTGAATACAGAAATTAATTATAAGTAAATAAATTAATAATAAAGCATATTATCTAAAGAAAAATCTTACCACAGCTAATGTGTATAGTATATTAGTGGGTTTGAACGGTTTGGGACATGATTTTTCAATCAGGCTGTATGTAGCAGTTATTGTAGTCTCATATTTATCCTATGTGTTTGACAATCTAAAAAAGTCACAGCATTTTTGGTTTTGGTAGTCCTGTCCTTCAGTAGTTTAAAATGTCAAGGAAGACTGCATAGAAATGATTATTAGAAGGGAAAGGACAAGTTTTGGTTATTTTATCTATTTGTTATTTGATAGTTTCCTGTATTCATAATAGGTGAGCAGGAAAATAAGTATCAATTTTGGATTTAAATATAAATATAGTCCCCTTCAGTTTTGGGAATTTAATTTGAAAGTTCACTAGGGGTATTTGGAGCTGAGGAAATAAGGGCAATGTGAGATAGGACGATGAAGACAATGAGTCATAACTACTGAAGGACGTAAGATAAGAGGAAAGACTTGATCAAAAATAATTTCACTGTACCCGGCCAGCACTGTACTGGGTATCATTTGTAAACACAACAGGCAAAGGCTCCAACATCAGTGAAAGCTCCAATATCAGTGGAGCTTATTATGATTTGGTAAGTGACCATAGACTATAAACATTGGTAAATTAACCGTAAACATGGTAAACCCACAGACAAAATGAGCAGGGTAAAGAAAGAGGTTTGGGGGTAGAGAGTCAGGTAGATGAGGTAATCTTCAGAGCATGGCCGGATTCTATGCTTTGTGTAGTGTCTTAACAGATGTTGAGAATAAATTTGCACTGCACCTGTGTATCTGGTTAGGCCCAAACCTTGGTAGTGCCGCAAATCGGCCTTTCTATATCTTCAAATGAAGCTGAATTCCCAGATGGTGCCTAAAGAAACTTCACAGGAACCTAATTTAACTTTGTAGACTCAAGGCTTTAAACATATCCGTAGCATCTGCTGTGTGCAAGGCTTTGTGAAAGTTGTGTGACTCAAGATGGCAGGCAGTTTATGGTCCTTCGCATACTTGGGACCTGAGAGAGAAAGCAGTGGCTAAGGCACTTGCCTTTCCTCCGGCCACCCAGATTTAATCCCTAGCACCTGGAATGACACCTGCACACAGACCAGGAGTAAACCCTGAGCATCCTTTCCTGTGACTCAAAACACAAAAAGGACAAAGAAAAGGGGATCAGAGAGCTAGTACAGTGGATAAGGTGCTGACTTTGCATGCTGCTGACCCAGTTGATTCCTGGCACTGCACAGGACTCCCAGCACTGCCAGTAGTGATCCCTGCGGACAGAGCCAGGAATAAGGCTTGGGCGCAGCTAGGTGTGGCCCAGGCTGCCCCTCCCCCTTCATGCTCTGGAAGGAAGGTTTCTTTAAGAGCGGGATACTCTTTAATGGGACATGAACAAGATATCTCTAAAAGGCTAAGGGAAAGGGGAGATTTCCATCAGAAGAAATATGGAAGCATGACATTGCTTGTGATTGTGTCCCTGGGGGTGCTCGGGGTCCATATGGGGTGCCGGGGATCAAACCCAAGTTTGCCAAATGTAAGGCAAGTGCCCTGCCTACTTGTACTGTCACTCGGGCCCCTAGTGATTGTCCATTTTGAGGCTTACTAGTAGACTGTAGAATTTTGGAGCTAGACGAAATTTCTTAGTGGCAAAAATTCACTGATTTCTTTTTGCCAGCTTGGTCTTTAGACTCTTGGACTAATAATTGGCCTGGGTATTCAGAAGCCTTTTAGAAGTTTTCATTTTTTTCTGACATGGTATGAGTAAGGGGGAATTCAGGGAAACTTGAGATTGAAGTGTATTGTTAATGAGCAGACAAAAAGTGTGTTGAGTGCCTTTATGTTTATATAATTACAGACCTCTGATGGAATGCCACGGAAACATAGGAAAAGGCCAAGAGAGTAATTTCCTTATAATGTAAGGCTGCTTAGTTGAAACATAGAACAAATAGAGTTCAGCTTTAAAATAGATGTCTGTAAGAAAGGTGGGTTAGGGTATGGATGAATATAAATCAGATCTATTTTGGTATGGAAGACACTAAAAGATAGTCTGGGAAAGCATGGAAGGAAGGAAGGAAGAAAGGAAGGATTTGTTGAGTTTTATTTTAGATTCTTTCCGTTTGTCTCTTTTCAAAAAGCATTGCAGTTTATGAAAGGTTTTTAACTTTTTTTTTGCTTTTTGGGTCACACCCGGTGATGCACAGGGGTTACTCCTGGCTCTGCACTCAGGAATCACTCCTGGCAGTGCTCAGGGGACCATATGGGATGCTGGGAATTGAACCCGGGTTGGTTGCGTGCAAGGCAAACACCCTACCCGCTGTGTTACCTCTCCAGCCCCAAGGGTTTTAACTTTTTTATGTGTCACTTTATCTCCTTGTCCTACGTCTGTTTATTCTTCCTCCTTTATTCTTTTCCCTGCCAAAAAAAAAAAATAAACCCTAAGCATTTTTAATAATTTTAGTGCCTCAGCATCCTCACCTTAAGATTATTATTTTTTTGCAAGGTAGTTTTTATTGAACAAAGTTGCTTAAAAAGATATGAGAGGAGAGAAAGAGGGGCATGTGTGTTCAAGAGAGAACACAGCCTTCTCGAGTGGAAATAGGCAAGCAAAGAACAGACAAGAAGTGAGATACATGAATTCAAGGGAGAACAGAAGCGTGATGAGCAAGCCAAAAATTAACTGTTGCAAAAAGCACATTATGTGCTTTATTCTCTATCATTTAACATAAAACCATCTTTCCTGGGGGCACATGCCATGCTGTGCTCAGGGCTTACTTGTGGCTCTGCCCTCAGGGAGCCCTCCTGAATATGTGCTGCCAGGAATTGAACCTAGCTCAGCCGTGTGCAAGGTAAAACACTGTACCTGCTGTACTAGCTCAGCGGCCCTAAAAACATCTTTTATAGTGGGTTAATTATAAATCACTATAAAATTTATTTGCAGAGACATTTTAAAATTTAACTTAGAAAATTTCCTGATTCTTAGAAAACTTGTAAAGAATAGCACAAGATGTTGGGCTAGAGAGATTGTACGGTGGATAAGGCTCTTACCTTGCACGTAGCTAACCTGGGTTTGAGCTGAGTTGATCCCTGGTAATAAGCTACCTTGAGCTAGGAGGAATCCTTGAACTCAGAGCCAGGAGTAAACCCTGAGCACAGACCGATGTGGCACCAAAACCAAAGAAAGAAAAGAATAAGAGAGTAGCACCGAGAATTCTCACGTATTCCTATCCAGAGACCCCTTTTTAAAAGTTTTCATCAGTTACTCCTGATGTCCTCATAAAGTTTCCAGTTATAAATCATGTATATACCCAGTTTTATGTCTGTAGTTATCCAGAATGCTTCCTCA